GCTGGATTAGATGGGTTTGAACGTAATTTTGTTACATACTGGAGAGATAATTTCAAGCGACGTTGTGCAAGTGAAGGCTCATCCGCCTCCACATACAAACTATCTACAGGAGAAGTTCTAAATGCTCCAAGGCAGAGCCTGAGTCCTTGATGGTGTATACTATCCAATTTCTCTAAATTACTTTTAGCAGCTCCGCCATATACTATTGAACCATAATCTAATTTGGATCGAATAAGGGATCTATACAGGTGAAGTAAGGTTGCCTGATCCCCACCCCATTTAGTATTTGCAACCACTTTCAGTAGGTCCAGAGCCTTCAAGCACTTAGTTTTAAGATATTTTATATGAGGTAAAAACGTAAGGTGGCGGTCAAATATTAGACCCAAGAACTTGGTCTCCTCTACAACCTTGATGGGAGTACCGTTTAATAACAGTTCCGGTTCTTTATGCGGTCTATAATTTCTACAAAAATGTATACAATTTGTTTTTGCTTTGGAAAATCTAAAACCATTCTCAAGCGACCATTTTTGAATTTTATTGAGGCAAAGCTGAAGTTGCCTTTCTATCGTGTTCATATTTTTGCCACGACAAGATATATTAAAGTCATCTACGAATAGTGACCCATCAATTGAGTCATTCAATACCTTGGACAGACTGTTAATTTTGATGCTGAATAATGTGACAGACAAAATACTTCCTTGTGGGACACCCTGATCCTGATTATAATGATCAGACAGAGATGAACCCACGCGGACTTGAAATTGTCTGTCGGATAAAAAACGGGATATAAACTGGGGCAAACGGCCTCTCAGTCCGAAATCATGAAGATCTCTTAAAATGCCATGCTTCCAAGTTGTATCATAAGCTTTTTCTAAATCAAAAAAGATGGACACAGCATGTTGTTTATGTACAATGGAATTTTTTAGGAACGATTCTAAACGCACAAGATGATCAATGGTACTTCTATTTTTACGGAAACCACACTGGATATCTGTAATGAGATGATTGGTTTCCAAATACCAAACTAATCGATTATTCACCATACGTTCCATAGTTTTGCAAACGCAGCTAGTGAGAGATATCGGACGGTAATTTGATGGATCTGTATGATCCCGACCTGGTTTCGGTATAGGAACTACAATCGCATCATGCCACGAAGGAGGAAAAGACCCTGATGTCCAAATATCATCAAATATAGTTAAAAGTGTTTGGAGACATGATTCAGGCAAGTGTTTTAAAAGCTGATAATGAATATTATCAGCTCCAGTTGCAGTATCATGAGCTTGCCCAAGGGCGGTATTGAGCTCATGTATTGAAAACACTTCATTGTAGTCTTCACCATTATCAGAATTAAAATTTACCTTTTTCTTTTCCTGTTGTTGCTGAATTTTCTGAAATTTAGGGTCATAGTTGGATGATGAAGAATGCTTGGCTAAAGTTTCTCCTAATTTATTTGCAATGTCAACTTTATCTGTCAATAAATCATTACCATCTTTGAGATGTTTAATGCTGGATTTAGAACCCTTGCCTTTGATTCTTTGAATCATATTCCACACCTTTGATATAGGTGTGCGTGAATTGATTCTGGATACATAATTTCTCCAAGACTGACGTTTATTTTGTTTAAAAGTTCGTTTAGCCTTTGCACTATTTATTTTTACAATATTTAAATTATGGACCGTAGGGTGTCGGCGGAAAAACTTTTCTGCCTTTTTCCTATGCTTTCTAGCCTGTTTGCAATCATCGCTAAACCATGGTTTGCGAATGTGCGGGTTCACAGAGGACTTAGGAATTGTTTCATCAGCCATGTGTTTCAGTTGTTCTGAGAATATCTGAATAGGGTCAGGGATGTTTTTGAACGTTTCAGGTCTCAGAGTTTCAAAACAACGTGTTTGAAATAAGGGCCAGTTTGCTCTATTAAAATTCCACCTTGTTGAAGGTGGTTCATCAGTTGGGAAAATAGACTTTAGTATTGTGGGGAAATGGTCACTTCCACATAGGTCATCATGGACTGACCAGTCAAATTCGTGTATTAAATTAGAATCAGTGAGTGACAGATCTAATGCTGAATATGTGCCTGTTGCAGGATGTAAATATGTGTTTGCACCATCATTAAATATACATAAATTATTGTTTGTAATAAAATCTTCAAGGACCGTGCCCTTAGCGTTCGTATCGACACTTCCCCACAGAGGGTTATGTCCATTTAGGTCACCCATGATGACACAGGGTTGAGGGAGTTGGTCAAATAAAGACTGAAGATCAGCCTGCTGAAGTGGAGAAGATGGTGGAATATACAAAGAGCAAAGTGTGAAGGCGATGTGAAATGTTAGCCGGACTGCAACGGCTTGAAGACTGGTGGTCAGAGGAATAGCTCTATGAATTATATCCTGTCTTACCAAGATTGAAGAACCTCCAGTGGCTTTTGCTCCTGGAGGTGAGAAGTGATTATACATGTTATATTTCCTGACATCACATTTATCTGTGTTCTTAATGTATGTTTCTTGTAAACACATAGCTGATGGTTTAAAATCTTGAATTAAAAGTTGTAAATCGTTAAAATTATTCCTAAATCCTCTACAATTCCATTGGATTATGTTAGACGATTGAGTCATGGTGGCTCAATCGGTGAACGTTCACGTACACGTGAGGATGAAGGACTCCTACTACTGCTCTGTGATGATGGGGTTACATCCATGTCCAGAGCATCAAAAGAGTTATTGAGAGGAACCTCTGAAGAAGAGGAATTTCTGATTGATTGTTTTCTATTAAGTTTTTTACGTTCTTTCCTTGTCAGAGTAACCTGAGATTCAGTAGGCGTAGTTTCTACAGCCTCTGGCGTTGTAGGAGCTGGTTCAACAGTATCAGGTTGAGCAGTATCAGCTTGATCAGTCAAAGGTTGAGAGTGGCTTATAGTTTGAGTTGAAGACGAATTTGAAGTAAGCACTGATGATATGCTGACAGGTTGATCTGATGTGATCCATGTCAATTCTGTCTGAATAGAAATGGATGCAGTTGGAGGAGCGGAGGTAGTGACAGCAGCAGAAAAGGTTCTGGAAAGTGGACTTTGCAGGCTCTGACTTCCGATCAGCTTCTTGGCATCATAAAAGGATATATTTTGTTCATGCTTGAGCTTCAGGATTTTGGATTGTTGAAGCCATTCGGGGCATAACCTGGACGAGGCCAGATGTTGTCCTTTACAGTTCGAACATTTTATTTCTGCTGAGCAGTCGGTGCTGTCATGACTGGCAACACAGCGCTGACAGACCACTGAGTGAGCACAAGATCTGGAGCCATGTCCAAACTTTTGGCACTTGAAACACCGGAGTGGATTGGGGACATACACCTCCACTCTGATGTTTAGATAACCAGCTTTGATTGACGTAGGAAGTGCTGAAAGAGTAAAAGTAAGCAAATAAGTGTTGGACGGGATGATGTTTCCGTCTCTAGATTTCATTGTAAAACGTTTTACTCCTGTCACTCCTTGAGATTTTAATTCGTCTGCAATTTCTTGCTCTGACATGTCGGACAGGCAACGAGCTCTGTCTCGAACAATGCCTCGGCAAGAATTCAAGGTTTTATGAGGGGACACATCAACCTCAATATTGGCAAATGTGGTTATGGACAACAAGTTGAGAGATTGTTGCTTCCGTGAGCACTCAACAAGAAGAGAGCCACTACGGAGACGTGTCACATTTTTCACTTCGCCGCAAATTCCTAAGACAGCTTTGGAAATGGCGAATGGATTAAGTTTAATGGGTTGTTTGTCAGCTGCCTCAATCACAATAAAGCGAGCCCATGAATCTAAGCCACGAGATAATTGATCATTTTGATCAATGTCATCAAGATCGACATGTCGACGTTTTGAACGGGTTGAACCAGGGTATTTGTGCGACATGGTGAAATATAGTAATTCAGCACCCCTGCTCCCCACCCACCATGGAGTGCCACAAAGAGCGATGTTGTGTTGCACCGGATCTCCAACATGCAAACACCAGGGATACAGGGATGATATACTCCAGCAAGTATGACGCAAATAGCAATATTTGTATACCAAATTAAATGCCAGGCTGGTTCGGCCCATGACAAGTAATCGGATACATACTGAATTTGGAGGTCAACATCACCCGATTGGCCCATGAGCCACCGCCTTCTGGCGTAAGACTCTAGGCAATTTATTCAATCAAAAGTTGAGAACTCATACAAGTTATGCATGGCCAAGACCAAAATATACATGAAAATACAACACAGGTATGTATATACAATATTACGCACAGGGCCTGGCATGACCAGCCGATTGATAAGACCGGGCCCATCTTACCACCCGTCTAGGCGAAGTAAGGGTCAAAGTAGTGTGTTGGGCAAAGGAACACAGTTCCAGGAACCAGTGCCCTCAACTACAAGACTCCCGTCCTCCGCCGACACAGGGACGCAACCCACGGCAAACAGGTTGCCCATTTTAGTCGCCTCATACGACCAGCAATGGGAGGCTGTGGAAATATTCTGCCCCGGTTCCACACGGGGGAAGAGCGATTAGCGTTACCCAGCACTCACCACGAGGAGGTTGCTCTTCACGAGTGCCCGACGAACCGTGAAGTTCCGGGGTCGAATTATAGGTCTTCGGCAGCCCATGCTTGTCGTAAAAGGCGACTATGCTTGTCGTAAGAGGCGACTTACTGGATATGGTGGTCAGGCTCGCCGACTGGCTTGATGGATTTCATCAATCCCAATTGCGTGGATCGATGCTCATGATATTAATCACTGGATCACTCGATTATTTACAGACCGCCGCCATAAAGCCGGAATATTGCTAAATGTGGCGTTAAACAACAAACCAACCAAACAAACCAACCAACCTGTCGACACGAACTATCGAAAATTGGTCTAAGGTCAAGGAGACAAAGGCTATTGACCTTTTTCACACTTCGGTACTTCCGGTTTGAAAGCGAGGCTTGGAGAGCATCGCTGCTTCTGCAGGTAGTGTCAACACACAGGAAGTAATGGCTCACTGTTCGGTCCCATTCTGTACGATCGATCGGAGAAAAGCAGCTTCTTCGGAATTGTCTTTTTTCAATTTTCCTAAAGACAAGCATCTCCGGAGGAAATGGATCGCAGCCATACGTCGAGATGTGAGCAACTCCTTCCAGGTAAGCAGCCTGTCTGTCTAGTGGTACATGTGTAGAATCAATGTCACGAAAAATGTTTATCGTCAGTTCACAAGAAGTCCGACTAATTTGTTGTATACAATGATACCACAAAATTATATTTCACTAAAAAATGACAAGAACATCATGTTCTAGGTAAAATAATAATTGTTTACATGTAATTTCAAAATTTACTTCAATATTTCGAGCCATTCGTCACCGATGAGCTCTTGACAACATCATCACACTATCAGTAAATGGGTTGATATAAACAGACGGCAAACCTAATGTTATGTAAAAAATGTATTATTTATTTAAATGTTGATAATCTGGGGAAAGATTTATTTGAATGCAATGCCAGTAAGTAACACTGACACAATAGTCGACCTTATACTTGAGAAATAGTTATGTAATAAATATTTGTGGTTTGGGTCCTAGGCTCATAGATCTATATTGACTAAGCATGTCTGTCTCTATGGCTGCCTGAAAAAAATGTAAATATTATTTTGATTAAAGGATACTACAGGTTAATGAAATGTTATGGTTATGGTCCTTTTACTATCCTGCAAGTCAGGGTTATTTTCAGCAATCCTTGTACTGAAAATGTTCATACATTAAGGTAATATACAGGTAACTTCTACCTTATGTTTGCTACTTTTAACATTTTATGGCCATAGATTTTGTAATAATGGTTATCTACATATATGTTTTTTTACAGCTTCACTATTTTGAATAATAGAAACTTAATAACATTGTTAAATATGTTTATTGATTTTAATTTGTTTGTTTCAGATTGGTCGCAATATTACTTTTGTATGCTCCAACCACTTCAAGCAATGTGAAATTAAAAGAGGTCTGGGAGGGCACAAAAAGAGGCTTGTTCCAGGAGCTGTTCCATGTATTTTTACATGGAACAGTGCCACCAAGAGTAGACCAACCAACAAGGTCCAGGACAGAAGGTATTGATTTGACTATCTCTTATTATCATATCAATTATTACATATAATATACAGTTCACTAAAATAGTTGTAATCATAATTTGTCATGACCATGATGACATTAATATTTTATTAAATCATTCATTTCTATTCCAGTGCATGTACTGTACAGTGTGTGACACTGTAAATGTATTATGATTATAATAATGTATAAATATGTTATTGTTATTATAATGGCAGTATTGCTCCCAGACCTGGCGGGTAGCCAGGTGCGCGGAAGCTATGTCCGATTTTTTAAAAGTATTGATTTAACTTCGAAATTTTACTGCATCCGCCATCTTTGTTTATTTGACTTGACTAGACTTTTGTCATTGACTTATTACATTTCTTTGTGTGAGTGTTGTCCAAAATGCACCCAATTGCTTAAAATGCAATCAAAAGTATAAAATATTTATGTCAACCCCCCCAAAGTTTTCCTCTTTTTGAGGGAAAACCTGCTCACATCCCTGATAATATATTTTATGGTACCAAAATTACTATTCTAGGATATGCTTTATTTACGAGGGAATATGAAATGTTCCGTGACTTACACTTTTCAGGTTGGATAGCATGGACTGTGTACCAACAATGCCTACACCGGCTGACACTGCAGATCTGGCTTCGACTACGGCCAGTGACCCGACCCAAACGTCTACTCCCCACCCAACAGCAGATCATGATTACCATGAGAAACAACACGCCACAACTGAAGAAAAATTAGCTTCTGCACATGCAGAGATAAAACGCTTACAAAATTGTGTAAATGTTCAGTCTGCAAAATTATTTTCTATAAGGCGTTTCGCTACCAGTCCTGTGGACATCAATTTTTATACAGGTTTTGCAGATTTCAATGAGCTAGATCAATTTATTCAGTGGCTCTATCCTACTGCTTCAAAGATGCAAACCTGGACACAGTTTCAGAGAGGCACTGATGTTGACAAACTACACTGTGGATTTCCATGTTCTTTGTCATTGTTTGACCAATTATTTGTGTTTCTCATTAGAGTAAGACAAGGTTACCCTGAAACACACTTGGCACATCTGTTTAATGTCAGTGTTTCAACTATTTGTAGAATAACTATGACATGGGCCAATTATCTGTATTTTTTGCTTGGATGTGTATGCATTTGGCCCTCTAGAGAAATGATAAATGAAAGAATGCCACAAGAATTTAAATGTTGTTATCCTGCAACACGGGTTATTGTTGACTGTACTGAATTGAAATGTCAAACGCCAACCTCTAGGGTTGTCAATTCAGAAATGTTTTCGCATTATAAAACCCACACCACTATGAAAGCATTGATTGGTATTGCTCCCCATGGGCCAATTACTTTTATCAGTTCACTTTATGAAGGATGTATTTCTGATAAGGAAATAACCAAACAGAGTGGTCTCTTGTCATTGTTAGAGGTAGGCGATGGAGTTATGGCTGACAAAGGGTTTTTGATTGATGATCTTCTTCAGTCTACTCGTGCTCACTTGATTATCCCCCCCTTTCTCTCAAAATCAAATGATTATCAGTTTACTAGAAAGGATGTAGAAATCACACAGGAAATATCCAGACTACGTATACATGTGGAGAGAGCAATCAGAAGAGTGAAGGAATACCATATTTTTGATGGCATAATTCCATTAACCATTGTAGGATCTGTAAATCAAATTTGGACTGTTTGCTGTCTATTATCAAATTTCAGGGGTTCTCTTTTTTAAGTGATGCAAAGAGAAAACTTATGAAACATAACATGGCTAATGCCTCTGTACCGAGAGTCTGGTGACTTTGGACCATTACTTGAACCATGTCATCATGGTGTGTCATCTTGATAAATACTCATTAAACAGAAATGTGATAATTGTTTACTGGTACATTACTTCAATATGGTATAGTATGCAATCAGTTTTGCAAGTTCTTGTGTCATAGTTGAATGGCATGGTAATGGGAGAGTGGAAACATCTTTATTTCCTTGTATTACTAATACATTCATGCTGAAACAGTGCAACTAAAGTTTTCAAAACTGAAGTATGTCAATACCATAACAATTTGATCATTCATGAATATGTGTGTACATATCTTACCATGGTTACATGTCTAACACATTAATTGTCAATGTCTCATGTCAGAGAAGTAAAGAAATTCATCCTTCATGAAACACATGAATTACAATGTCACTTGGCTGATGTATGAATCACATCAGAACCCGATTACTAATGTAAAACTTCATTACCCATAAAAATAGACATTTACGGGTTGATATGTCAGTAGGGTCTGTCTGGTTTCCAACCGTACAAGCTACTTGTCAAATTACTTTCCATTCATTACATCAGTCAACTTGCCCCTTACTGATAATATTGTTTAGATTTTACCAAGGATGTAATTTATGAAATAGTTGAAGTAAAACAGATCCAACCTGGTTTTCATTTCATTGCAAAATTCCTCATTGAAATATATTCTCTCCAAGTGGTAATCATCTTTGCACCAAACAAAGAAATCGACCCACCTGGCCCCAGTGAGTAACATTTGACCCATTACTTGATGATAATGCTGGAATGTTTCTTTGAGCTTGTATGTACCTTGAGATGTTAACTTAAGGTAGTTGATATTTGATATGGATTGTGCAGTGGAACATTTGATTTCTAGCAAACCCCAAGGGTCACTCTCAGACGGGTCATATACCCGCCTGTCTGGTGAAGTGGCTAGATATGGACATGTATGGGTAATGACAATTCCACAAGCATGGACATTAAGCTTTTGCAGCCTTGAATATGCCTCAGCAGCAGAGTCCTCATTCTCCATGCCATACTTCATAGCCTCAGTTTGTCTTTTGGATTTCAGTAGAGAGTCACACAAATGTTCAAAATTATCTTGTCTGGTATGCACAAGTTTAAAGTTACTTGAAGATAGGCGATGTGCCTTAAGTTCAAACCACTTCTTTTGCTCACATTGATCTTGTGTTTCCTGCTCGTATAAAGCACTCTGTGTTGATGAAACTGACAGCCCATCGAGAAATGTTTGTTGGTTTGATGTAAGTGGGCCATTTAGTTTGCTTTTAATATCAGGCGTTACAAAAGGTGGGGGGAAGGGGTGAGAATGGTTTATGATATGACTTTTGTTTATGTTTGATATAGGAGGCTGTTGAAGTGAAATGGTTGAACCTTCGGGAACTTGACCAAACGCATATGGTACAAGAACTATATCACTCATATTCGGAATGATTGATGAGAACTGATTAGCCTTAGGATTTTGACCACAAATGTTTTTTTAGAGTGGAAGAAAATTCATTATGGTTGATGTCTTTGGGCAAGGGATTGTATAGAGTAGACCTCAAACCATCAAGGCGTCTTTTTTTAAAGGGACAGGTTTCGCATTGGAAGATGATGAGTGAGTAAGTGTAGGAGAAGCAGAGGAAGTGTTAGTAGAGGCAGCAGATGTAGTTGAGGCAGCAGATGTAGTAGAGGCAGCAGATGAAGTAGAGGCAGTAGAAGAGGTAGTATCTGTTGATGACTTAGATGTAACAGATCCACTGGCAGGTGTTTTTATTTTTTTAACAGTGATTTGGTCTACCTTTTTGGCAAAAAGGCCTTTACTTCTTTGTGAAACATGCCATGTTTGTGGCAGCGATGTTTTTGACAATGCAGGTGGCACTGTTTTTAAGTCAAGGGATTGATAGTGTTGTAACAAATACAGTAAACCAATCACGTGATTACATTTGCCCTGGCCAGATTCACAATTACATGAAGTCTGCTCAATGAGAGTTGAATCGGTTGTATTGATCCAGATCTGAAAAATATCATTGGTAGTCTATTGTTATTATTGTTTTATGTGGTAATATCTGCTCAGTGTAATAGCACTCTTTTCTTATGAGGATTAATTAGCCTTGTCCAATTATAATCATGACTTGAAAATAATTATGCAGGGAACCCAGTTATCTTTCCTAAGCCTTGAGCATACTAAAGGTTTCTTCACTAAAGTGATTGTTCTTCAGACTATTGGTTCAAGGTGTGGGTTTTCAATAAATGAGAATTTTAATTATCTTTCCATCAAAAAGTACTTTTTTTTCAAAGCCACAATTGTTTTAAATGTATCTTAACGAGAAAATATGAAACAATTTATTGAGTACAAAAACACAATTTCCTTTCGGTATTATTCACCTTCATGTGATAAGGGGTTTCATTCTTTTTTATTGACTTGAAGCTTCGAGCTCTGCAAACTGCTCCATCAGGTTGAGGAGATACTATAATCATAAAAGTAATTGAATATCCTGCCTGTTATAATCATGATAATATCAATGTATATTATTGATTTACAACAGGTCTGTAAAATAAACCCTTGTATACAATTTATATCATTCTTTGTTGTATTTCATTTGCCTGTATGTGTTTACTTTTAGTCTGACTCATGTTACCATAAAATGATGAGTTATTACACAGATACTTCTTTGGATTTATGTGAAGGTTTATTGGTCACACAGCAGATCATATGGACACATAGTTCTCAAATGTGGAGGGTAATAGAACATTATCTGAGCTCCCTGGTAATGTTTAACACTGAACATGAATGGTACATTATGTACAGTGAAAAACAAAATTGATGGAAAACTGTGAAACGAATCTTTACTTAAGGTGAGTTGCTGCTGGTTCTTAGGCTTATGATAATGAAGGGACTTTTTCACAAGTTCATCACGTTTTCTTTGAGGTTACAACAAATGTGAGTAGAAATTTATGTTTTGATAGGTGAATGCACATAACAGAAGAAAGTATTATTTCATCCAGAGACCATAAAATATGGTATCTGCTTCAGCCTAACAATAGTTATGTCACATATGAGAAAGTCATACAAATCATACAGTGATCAACGCAGCAATATATATTTTTTATCTTTAAATTTCAGTTTTACACATACTGTTATTACTCATTTCATGTTCAAAAGAACACCCAATATTTTTTAATGATTTTTCATTGCTACTACAGTAGGAAGCTATTCACCACGTTTTTTTGTTTTGGAAAATATTTATACTTCAGGTGGAATGTAAACAATGAAAAAAATCCGATTATTCATTTCAAAAGCTGTTCTTATTTGGACTCGTATCAATAAGAAAACAAATCGAAACAACTTCACAGCCAAATAAAGTGTTGTTTATTTTTTACTAAACAATACTAGGTGTCACATGTATTATAAAAACCGCAAGATGTGTGTTTTTGGAGGACTTTGATAAGATAATATTTAACGGAAAAATCACTTCCGGGTTGCCGACACAACCAAGCCCCTACCTTCAACATCGAATATGTATCCCTCGCAAAAATTGCCATAGGCTCTTTTTAATACTTTTCTGGGGACTTTTGCAATTTGGTTTACCCAAGTTTCAACAAAACCGGGTCTTATGACCGGGACACAGTTTAAATTTTTGGTCCACACAGTCTTCGCGCTCAAATTGGTGGAAGCCATTTCGATACTGAATCCTTGACACGGAAGCACCGAATGCTCTCCAAGCCTCGTTTTCGATCCAAGATGGCGAAAGTGTGAAAAAGGTCAATAGACATCATTCCATCAGGAACAATGTTTGTGGTCATTACTGCTTCATTTTATCGACAAGGATCCCCTGAAAATGCATTTAACGTTGAGTAACAAACTTTCTCCGAGTGGAGAAGAAGTGCAAATAAATATATATATCTACTGATATGCTGGAACACATTGATAAAACACATTAGCGAATGTAGTTCTCACAATTTGTGATATCAAAAAGTACTTTTGATATTTAGAATATTACAAATTTGTTATATGATAAAATACATTAGTTGATATAACAAAAGCATGTATTGATATGTACACATTTGCGATACCAATAAATATTTCATGACATGATAACATCAAATTTGTGATGTAAATTCATTCTTTGGTATGAATAAATGAATTATTGATATAATGAAATAATGAATAAACCTAAAACGATGCCTTTTTGGGGTTGTATTAAGTAACGCGGTTGCATCACAGTTATAGTGTTAATTGCTACTCTGTTTCTACACCAACATTATTCTCATCTGTTTAAAATATGGCACTTTATAATGTGCTATTAACCATAATAAAGGAAATAATATATTAACTACAATAACGGAAATAATACTAACTTGCGTTTATCCATCTCTTTATCGTTATCATCACCAACACCTGTCTACTTTTAAGTGTATGTACTTTCTCTTGAACATCGTACTAATTACGCAATGAAACATCATCTTAACACGGTTACATTTATTTGTTGTGTATACAAGGGGACTTTGATTCGGTTAAACCGGAAAATAGTTACCCAGGTTATTACAGTATATCTGTTCACTCCTTGTTTTCAGTCGTGTCATTTTAACAAATAAGTTAGGTGAAACAGTTTTCACAATCTCTCCGGTTATGGAGGTTTGGCCATATTTGAGAGTGAGTTGAGGTGAAGTGGGGTTTAACGTCGCGTCCAAGATAATTGCACTTATATAGCGACGTGCATGTACGTGTGTGTGTTTGTGTGGCTGCTTGTACTAGTCCGGACTATTGCCGATTTATAGTGCTAGCTCACTGAGACACCATGCCGCAGTTTAACATGAATAGACACAGTATACTGACTCCGAGCCGACCAGTCCTTGTTTTAGCCCCTTAATGCCGAGCGCCAGACAGGGTAACAACAAGTACCATCTTTTTACGTCTTTTGGTATGACGCGGCCGGGGATCGAATCCCGGACCTTCCGCTGTCCGGGCGGACGCTCTACCACTAGACCGCGGAGGCGGTCCCATATTTGAGAGTGATAGGCAGTGATATAAAGTAATTCTGTTTATATGGACGCAAATCTTGGACGCGACGTTAAACCCAATTTCACCTCACCTTATATGGACGCTAACGCTTGCTACTTCATAATCCATTTTCTATGCGTGCGTGGTCGTAAAGAAAATGTAAAGTTACCTGATCCTAAGTACAAAGCAAATACGTATTCACGTGCTCAAAACGGAATTAACCCTTTTGGCGGGGGATCCTAATTACATATTATGCAACAATTACTAATGTAACAGCTGTATGTCGTTATTATCCCATAGCATAACTCTATATAACTTGTGGTTGCTATTCCCCTGGTAGTCTGCCCCTGCCTATAATGTGTGTGTTCGGACGATGGCGATCAACATCAAAATGTATGAATATTAACACGTAGACCGTTGTGCTTGTAGATAAAGTTACATACGCTTGACCAGGTAAAATATTTCAACACCTTTTCACACGGTAACCTTCAGATTCATTCAAACGGTAGTAGCATATCACACTTGGAAATGAAAGCATTACAAAACAGTGTGTTTCGTTTAAGGGATGGTACAGAATGGTATTTAGAAAGATATTTTAGTTGCTTCACCACTATATATGCCGACATAAATACTTCCTAAAACGTCACTCTATGTCTAACCGTCTGTTACTTACGATGGACAATTATAGCCCAACACATGTTGCTGAAACCCCATATCAACAGGAACCCGTTAACCACGTGCATCATTTTGAAGCCACGGCATCTCGAACTGCACATTTAACCGCCCTTATCGTTTCGATACAGGTGTAGTTGGTTGTAATTGCGCATTGTCTCCACGTCAGCATTGAAGTATTAATGTGAAAGAAAGGCCCTCGTTCTTTCTGTATGACGTTAATGCTGGTACGATCCCACGCAAAGACTTTATTATTTCATTATGTTGCTGCCTATTTGTTACTCCATGAAATGAACGAACGATTTTTTTAATTCAATGCCTTTGTCTTTTATAATGTATCATTGAATCGGATACCTCCCCAAACAGACATTTCCCCACAATAGTGCGACAATTACCCACAACCATTTTAATGAATGGTCATTACCTTTTTGTATGGATTACATACAGATCTCACTAAGCATATGTTTTACAACTAGGATGAGGATACTGGAATAGACTGAACAGACTGGAGAAAACGTCAAATTAGTGATAGATGTGACATATCTCACAGGGTAACATTCACATTACCTTGTGATCATGTTTACGTTCTTCTTGACAGTTTCGAAGAACTGTACAAAATGGAAATGAATTAAATTGGAGAACGAGAGAAGAAATTAGTAGTCACTGATTTACATAAAGCATTCTTCGTTTAATAACACACTCACTTGTTATTCCAGTACTTGTCTGGAGGAATCCCATTTCCAAAGCTTTCTATTACTCTTAGGCACTCGTGAAGAGCAACCTCCTCGTGGTGAGTGCTGGGTAGCGCTAATAGCTCTTCCCCCGTGTGGAACCGGGGTAGAATATTTCCACAGCCTCCCATTGCTGGTCGTATGAGGCGACTAAAATGGGCAACCTGTTTGCCGTGGGTTGCGTCCCTGTGTCGGCGGAGGACGGGAGTCTGGTAGTTGAGGGCACTGGTTCCTGGAACTGTGTTCCTTTGCCCAACACACTACTTCGACCCTTACTTCGCCTAGACGGGTGGTAAGATGGGCCCGGTCTTATCAATCGGCTGGTCATGCCAGGCCCTGTGCGTAATATTGTATATGCACACCTGTGTTGTATTTTACTGTATATTTTGGTCTTGGCCGTGCATAACTTGTGTGAATCCTCACTTTTGGATGTAATAACTTGCCTAGAGTCTTACGCCAGAAGGCGGTGGCTCATGGGCCAATCTGGTGATGTTGACCTCTGTATTCTGTATGTCTCCAGTTTCTTGTCATGGACTGAACCTGCCTGGCACTACATCTGGTAGATAAATATAGCTATTCAAGTCATATTTGCTGGAGTATAACATCCCTGTATCCCTGGTGTTTGCATCCTGGATATCCGGTGCAATATAACACTGTCCTTGTTGACACTCCATGGCGGGTGGGGAACAGGGGTGCTGAATTATATTCTTTTCATCATGGCTCAACAACAATCTGGTTCTTCTCGAAATGAAAAAAAGAGACGTCTAGAGGAAATTGAATTTACAACTGAAAATGTTTCTCAAAATATTGATTCCTAGGCTCGATTCCTGGTAATTGAGGCTGCTGACAAACTACCCATCAAATTGAATCCTTTTGCCATATCTAAGGCTGTGTCTGGGATTTGCGGTGAGGTCAAGAACGTCACCCGTCTCCGTAGTGGTTCGCTTCTGGTGGAGTGTGCACGGAGACAGCAATCTCTCAATCTTTTATCTATCTCTACCTTTGCCAATATTGAGGTTGCTGTGTCTGTGCACAGAACATTAAATTCTTGTCGAGGCATTGTTCGTGACAGAGCTCATTGTCTGTCCGACATGTCTGAAGAAGAAATCGTTACAGAGTTGGGAGACCAGGCCGTTACTGAAGTTAAACGTTTCACAATGAAGAAAGACGGTGTCAT